ATGAATTGATCAACAAGGGGGTTCCAATTTTTCTAGATTCGATTTCCAAATTTGGTAAAATACTTGACTGTATTACAGTAGACATGTCGATCGTGTGAAATGTCATCTGACTGGTATATATGTAAAAAAAAAAAAATTATTTTTTTTTTGTATTATCAAAAATTTACAAAAAAATTTTTTTTAATCATCATCACCATCATTAGGCTCAGTATCAGCATCTTCAATAGTATTGCTATCTTCATATTCATCTTCTTTTTTATCATTTTTGGGAATGTCAACAACCTTACCCTTATCTTTTGAATCTTTTTTTTTAATATCATAAGGTTTTGGTTAGAAAGTTTAGTAAGAAATGGCACAACAACATAATGTGTTGGTACTTACTTGTAACATCATCAACTAAATCTATGAAACTTTCCAAATTGTTACTATTGTTTCCTTTTTTTTTGGAATTTGAAGGCTTATTAGTGTCAAACATTTTTTTGTTTTTTTGTTCTTTTTTATCTTTGCCTTTATATCTATTTGAAATTTTTTGTAGACTTTCTAAATTTTTTTTTCTCTTTTTGTTTGCTTTTTCGCCTTCATTACTTTGTGTATCTGCATTATTATTACTTAGATAGTTCCACTCAATTACACTAGGGAAATTAAAGACTGAGCCACCACATACTAATAATTCACCACATACTGAAACAATAGGCATTTTATTTATTGCATCTTCTATATATGAAGCTTTGTTTTTTTTCTTCAATGTGCAAATAACTGAAGTGTTTGATGTAGTCTTGGTATAACCATTGTATATATCTCTATTCAATCTGAAGATGGAATTATCATCATCATCATTGAAGGGATCTTTTACATGGCCAGTGAATGTCCAAATTGGTGGTGATATGGGTAAGTCAAATTTCGATGGATTTTCATTCAAAGTATTCAAGTTTATTGTTGTAAATTGAGCTGGCACAACCTTTAATAATTTTTTTGTAATGAATAAATAAATGTGATATTGCTATTGATAAAAATCTTTTTTTTTTTTAATATATATACTGTAAATATTATTTTATTACATAATTAATGTCTTCTTCATCATCATATGCATATCTTCCAACCATCATTCCAAAGGAGTGTTTTTTAATATCATCATCTATGAGGTTAGTAGTTTCATTACAATATCCTTTAAATCGAAAGTTAAAAAATTCTTCATTATTGATTCTAGTTGTTGCCTCTCCAATAAATAAGGTTTTTTTAACATAACTTACTTCTCTGATAAAACATAAGGCTGTGATAATTGATGTCATTTTTTAAAATTAAAAAAAATGATTATGAATAGTGTGTATGCATGTTAATGTGTATATA